TACCGAAGCAACGAAGGTTGCTCAAAGTAACTGTCCTTACAACAAATTTTGTCTTCTTCGGGATTCCAACATGGTACCTTCCGAGTCTGAAACATTTCCACTCCTTTACCACTTTGCCAGGGGAATTGCATTACCGAGCAGTAACTATCGGATCTGACAATCACTCATACTGAAGAAGACAAAACGCTAGATAATATTCGAAATTATTCTACGCTACAGTAATGAGCCATCGACGCTGACCACTCGTTCCTTGTTTTAGAACAGTCTTTTGAAGTCTTTTTAGACAGTAACTGAACCGAAAGCGAAATAAATAGTCATGATACGCTAACACTTTATCACAAGGGCGAGGCTAGGGCATTTTCTTAAATAACTATTCTGCAGAAATGTTGGCTAAGAAAACTTCTCTTCAGGCAATGTCAGTACAATCTTTCATATCTAACAAACGTCAAAGAATGAAATTGATTATATTTTTTATATTTTATCGACATTTATCACTATTATTGGCTACTACTGATTTATTTATTACTTGATAATGCTTCCAATATAATAGGGAAGTTTTTGCAGACTCTTTTAATTAATCGGTAGAGCGAAATTTTTGGAAACGTTCAAACCATTAAAAACTGAAAAATGATTAAAATGAACAGAGTCGCACCTTATCAAATAAATTAATAAATAAACCAACCGACTAGCCACAGATCAATCAGAAGTGACATATACAATTACATTTTGCTGTAATACTTTGCTCTATACGTTCTCCGGCGATGCGACGGAGACTGAAGGATTTGATTTGATTAAAGGAACTACTATATGTTAAAATTCAACAGATGATGGCTATAAAATATATATGGTATATATGGCGCTAGAAATTTTCCAAGATTTAACCAATATTTTATACCATTTATGAAGTGCATAGATAATAACAAACGTAAAAAACGAATCGTTCAAACACATGCAAACAATTATGAGAGCTTCAACACCTATTATTCATTCAACATCAGAGCAACAAACTTTTGTTTGAAAATTTGAAAATAAACCTGTTTGAATTGGATTCAGTATCACGCCTTATTTATGCCAACACTTCATAGTTTATCATATTTCATATCTGCATTTTATTTATGCGTTTCCGTTATACATCCACACATTTACCTTATCCGAAAAGGTTTTATCTTCTAGATACGAATTTGAATACTTTTTGACTGAACAACGTCCCGAATAACATTAGCATCTAGCATTTTTACAAGGAATTCGTATTATTCGTTTGCGACAATAGGACAAATCTTGAAATTTCACATGCAAATTGGGGAAGTGGCAAGTTTGGCTGCACAGGTGAAGTTGATTTGTAAAGGAGGTCACGATTTTCTGAGCAAAAATAACTTCCGGTATAACACATTTTATCCCTCTGCGAGCAAAGATCATGAGGCTATAATCTATTAAATATCGTGACGAGGGACTCACTGTAGAACTGCTGACTAACATAAGTCAGACACTCACTTCCGATGACCGTTTATCATTCGACCACACATAATCTCTTAAAGTTCCCAAACCCGTACTAGCGTTTGGGCTTCGACACAAGACAA